AACATAAATTGCCATTTAAAATTAAGAATATTTAAACAAAGAACAAAAAAAAAAAAAAAAAGAAAAGATGTGTGATTCATCATATTTTCTGATAAACAAAAAATTAAATATAAAAGAATAAATTACATGAAGTTATCATAATGGAAAAAAATATATAATTATAAAATAATTAACATAATATATATATTCCTTAAAATAAGTATATATATATATATACAAATGTAGAAAATAAATAATTGTAAAAAAGGCCAACTAGAAGTAATTAAAAATAATTATGAAAATCATAAAAAATTTAGTTATAACATGAATACAAAAGGAATAAAATATAAAGATATAAATGATAATTTAAAAAAAAAAAAAAAAAGAATAAAGGGTATATACATAAAAAAAAAGTTTCTGTTTAATAAAAATATATATATATATATATTAAATAGTTCACTTTTGAAAAAAAAAAAAAAATACTACAAAATCTCAATTTTTTATATTTCTTTTTTTTAAATGTCTTTATCAAAATATTCTATATTCATACTTCTATAAGAAAATATGATAGCTGATATAACAAATAGAATAAGTACAACTGCTATTAAGAATGAAATAACGATTGTTTTTAAAGACTTTTTTCTTAAAAAATGGTAAATATAAAATGAAAAAAATAGAATAAAATGTACGAGATATCTAAATAGGAAATATAGCAACTTTAGAAAATGAATTAGGAAAAAAATAAAAATTGTATTACAATTTAATGAATTATTTTTACCATAGTTATATTTCATTTTTATGTTATTATCATCTTCATCTATATTTAAATCATCTATATTCATAGGTCTTGTGTAAGATCTATTTCTTAAATAATTACAAAAATTCACACTACTATTATTAGTGTTATAATATGAAGAATTACAATTATTATTATTTGTACTCATTTCGTTTTCATAAATTCTTTTTAAATTATATTTTTCTTCTTTTTCTTCATTAGCACTAATATCTTTATTTATTTTTTTTTTTTTTCTTAGATCAAAAATATCATTTAGTTTTTCATCATCTTTGAAAATGTATTTTTTACCTATACTTTCAATAACATTTTCGTTTTCATTTTCGCTTAAATTTCTATTTTCACAATCGTCAAAATCTTGGAACTTTTTTATAGAAGTTTTCTCTTTATAATTATTACTAAGATTTAGACAAGGATTAAAATCATTGGTACTTTTAATACTCTTCTTATTATTTATTTCATATAAATAGCCATCTCTATCATTATTATTTTTATCTATTAATTGATCATGAAAAGAAATACAATTATTTTTCATATTTATATTAAAATTTTTCGGTGTATATAAATTAGGCTTTAATTCATTATTACTCTGTGTAAATGAATCTCCTAATTTACTCATTTGAAAAAAGTAATTCTCTTTCATATTATTTTTATAATTTTCTGAGTTATTATTATTATGAAAAAGGCTTTTCTTTATATCTTTGTTACTATTATTTATGGGTAAATATGTCGATTTTGATAAATTATATACTTTTTCATCACAATAATAATCTTTTGTTTGGTTTTTTGTATAATTTACATAGTCATATAAAGTGGAATAATCATTTGATCCATGCGATAAAGCACTCATATGCAATTGCGTACTTTTTAAATTATTTGAATTTAAACTCAAATTATCTAAATTCATGTTTTTTTTTTTAGTATTGTTTAATTGATTATCCATAAATTTCTCCTTGATATCTTTCTTTTGAACATTTTTATCTTCTGAATAACAAAAATGATTTACTGAATTGTATTTTAAAATATCTTCATTCCTTATAATTCCTTTATTTAATCTTTCCTTATCTTCATCATTTACTAGAATTGTATCTTTTTTCGGAGAAAATTTTTTTATATAACTTTTTAAATCATTCAGATCATCACACTCTTTCTCCATTTCATTATCATATATACATGTGTTATATTTTTTTTTAGTATAAAAATTATTATCTAAAGATTTTTCATTAAGTATGATTTTTTTTGTTATGTTATCCAATGAATTACTATAAAATTCCTTTTTTTCTTCTCCTAAATCTTGATTCCTCTTATGTTTATTAATTTTTGTATTTTTAATTTTCTCTAGTTTTTCCGTTATATTAAAAAATGTGTCATACAAAATCTTCTTATCTTCCGTATATTTTTTTTTTTCTTCATCTTCTTCTAATATACTGCTACTTCCTAAAGATTTTTTAAAATTTGTTGAATTAAAATTTTCAGTTATAAATTTTCTATAATTAAAATTGCCTTTTAAATTATCGTATTCATTATTCATTGATTTATAACAATGCATTTTGTATTTCTCATCATCATCATCATTATATGGAGAAAAATGTTCATCATTATAATTGTCATTTTTGTTAATAATATTCTTACAATATTCTAAATTTTCATTTACTTTATTACTATTTTTTTTTCCTTCATAATTAAATATTTTAAAAGTGTTTTTATTCAAATTATTATAATCTCTATTACTTAAAAAAAGTAAATTACTATTACTACCTCTTTTATTCTTATCAAAAATATCATCATATGAATATAAACTCCTATTATCATTATCTTTAACTAAAATTTTGTTATAATTTAATGAATTATATTTATTCTTTATATTGTCACAAGTATGATGTTTTTCATAAATATTATTATAAAGAATTCCATAATAATCATCGCTTTTGTATTTATATCTCAATTCGTCTATATCTTTTTGAGATAGTTTTTTTTGAGAATTTTTATAACCTTTTAGGGATTTCAAATGTTTTTCTTGAGTATCATTATTATTGTTTAAAAAAGATAAAATATGATCACTATAATAATGATTTAATGGGTTATCTTTTAATTTTTTTTTATCTTCATAATTATAGTTACTAAAAATTTCGTTATTTTTTATTATATTATTTTCATTATTATTTTCCATATAATATGTCATCTTATTATTTGTATTTTTTTCTTCATAATAATTATTTCCATTGTGTGATTTTTTATTTTCAATTACATCATTAAAATCTTTGTAAACCATTATATAATGAAATTCATTTTTAATTTATTCTTTTTATTAATTTTACTTTTTCTTTTAATATTTAATGAATTCTAACAATATTAATATATACAAATAAATTAATATATTTTCATTTTTTACAAATATATATATATACATATATATTTGTGTATATTCTTTTAATTATAAAGAATAAGCTTATATTTTGCTATTATTTAAAATTTCATTAAACTATAAAATGTTTATATTTTGTTAAATTACACTAATATTTTTGCATAATAGTAATAAAAAATAATAGAAAATTATTTATTTTTTTTTTTTTTTTTTTATATATAAATATAATTATCTAAAAGTTTATTTTGTTTTATTTCTCTGTTAAACTTAAATTCTATGTTTATGGAAATTTCTTTTAAAAAAAAAAGAAAAAAATAAATCTTCAACTTTAATGAACAAATTAAAAAAAAAATTTTAATTTATTCTTATTTTTATATATAAGTAATTTTTTGTACATCTTATTTGAAATTTCTCTAATTTATTATGTAATTAATAAATAATAAATAATAAATTTTTTTTGATAAATAAATTAAAATATTCATATGTTAATAAAATACTTAATTTTAATTGTTGTTTTAAGATGTTTTGAAAGATTTTTATTGTAGCAAAAATAATTATACATCATTTTCTAATATAATGAAAAACATTATGAAATTTTTAAATGTGGATTTATTTAATGTTTTCTTATTAAAAACATTCTATAATTACATATTTTTTAAATTTTATTTTTAAAAAGTTTAAAAATAATGAAAGAAAAGTATATAGATTTAATATAATACATACTATATATTATTAATGAGCATATAACTCTTTTTTTGTTGAAAAAATGCGAAATTTGACAATTCTATCGATATATTTACTTATTTTTTTTTAAAAATATTTCTTAATATATTTATCTTTCTGAAAATTTAACTAAATAATTAAAATAATAATTTATTTTATGATTGGATATACTTAGTTTTTTTTTTTTTTTTTTTTTTGT